TTTTTTTCAGTACTGGGGATTGAACTCAGGACCCTGCACTTGCCAGGCAAACTCTTACTCTACTGAGCTATTTCCCCAGCGCACAAAATCCTTTAGTAGTCTATATTTGTAGTGTCCACTTGGGGGGCCTTCCTCCCAGTCACAGGGCACCATGTTCCTGGCCCCTACTCACTTGTGTCCTGTGTTCTGGCCTCAGGATTGTGTGCCAGCTTCAGAGGATGCTGTCCATAGCCGTGGAAGTAGACAGGACTCCTACCTGCAGCTCCAATAAAATTGCTGAGATGATGTTTGGGTTTGTACTGGACATACCTCAGAGGAGTCAAAGGTGAGTCTAGACGTCATTTGTTGTTCATTAAAAAAGAAAAACTTCCAGCAAGTTGTTTTCATTTTATTTTTTATGTATTTGGTGCAGGGCCTACAGGGTCTCATTACACAGATCAGACTCTTAATGATCATCCTGTTTTCAGCCTCCCAAACGCTGGGATTACAAGCAAGCGCCACCACGACCAGTCTCAATTGCCCCCTCAACCCACCCTGGGAGCAGGGCTGGCACAGCATGCCAGGGATCGAACCCAGGCCCTGTGTCTGCCTAAGCAGGCACTCTAATCTGCTGAGGTATCTAGCAATGACAAGCCCTAGCAAGTCATTTTTATAACGTATCTTTTTTACCTATGCTTCTTGCTAAAAACAGTTCAAAAGAGAAAAGCCCAAACTTTAAGAAGAAACAAATGGATCATTTATGGTTCTCTGATCTCTGAAAGGTTTCCAACTAACTGCTGTTGTTTACAAATTAGGCATAATTTCTTGGGAAAAGACAAGATACCCTAAGTGGAGATTACATTTTTCCCTCATAGCTATTTGCCTAAATTTATCCTTTAAATGTAGACTTAAAAGAGACAAAAATAAATAAAAGCTGATCCCACTTTAACGTTCTCTCAGAATAAATTGGCCATCTACCCCAATTACACTGGAAGATACTACATGGGGTCTTTATTTTAGTTTAAATATAGGTATAATTTACATGAAATTATGCACACTAATTTACAAAATTATTGATCATGGCAAATGCATTCATCTGCATGACTTGTCATTTTCCAGTGGCTTATTGATATATTACAACCTAGGTAAATTCATTTATTCTAGTAGATTCTTGTGGTGTTTTACAATTTTCTGCATGTTACAATCATGTTATCTATAAATAAACAAGTCTAGTCTCTTTCTTTTGAGTATGTATGCCTTTCCTTTTTCTTGCCTTAGATCAGATAGCCCTGCCTTGCATCATCTTAGTGTGAGAGCATGCTGTCTTTGACTTCGTACTAAATGTGAACTTAGCTGAGATGTTTCACTGGTGCCTTGTGTGAGACTGAGGAAAATTCCTTCCATTTCCAGTTTAATGAGTGTGTTTCTGAAGAATGAAGTACTAGGATTTGTCAAGTTACATTCTGTATCTATTGAAATAAGCGTAATTTTTCTTTATTCTGTTGGTGCAAGGAGTTACAGTGATTTCTGTAATTTCTTTTTTTTTTTAATTTTATTTATTTATTTGTGTGTGTGTGTGTGTGTGTGTGTGTGGCCAGCTCAGCCCACAAGGGGGCGGGGCTGGCTGGCATGTGGTGCTGGGGGATTGAACCGCGGTCCCTGTGCTTTGCTAAGCTTGTTC